GCAGCCCGTGAGGCGCCGCGCATGCGCCCCGCCGCGCGACTGAGGCCCGGCCCCCGCCAGGCGGCGAAGGGAGGCGTCCGTCGCGTCGCCTGCGCGTCTGGCGGTGCATCCCAAAGGGGGTGCGGAGAAGAAGGAGGAGGACAGCCATCCTACAAGAAGGGCTCTCGTTCGACTCCTAAAATGGGCGGGGTTAATTGGATCTTCGCTTTCAAATATAGCTAAGAGGAGACGGGCAAGAGATGATCAAGGCTTTGCAAATAAAAGTGGCTTTTCCTTTTTCTCGTGGCTCCTTTCCGACCTTGAGGGGCTGCTGCCCCGCAGCGGGAAGGGTCGAATGGGAGCCGGACGTGCTTCCCCCCTCTGCCCACCGTTGGTCTCCTTGCTGCCCGACCCAGGGCAACTTCCAAGGTCCTTTTGGCTCCTCTTTGCAGGAGCGGCTCTTCTGGGATCGCAGCCCAAGCAGGCTTGTTGGGGGCTCCGCAAGCTTTGCCTCCCCACGCCTGGTCTGGAAGCGAGGTGGCCCTCCTGGTGCATTGAGTGGAGGGCATAGGAAAAAGTCCCTCAAGTGTCAGGATGTTCCACTGGGAACCCAGACCAAGATCAGGGGAACGGGGTTCCCGGAGGAGAGCTTTGCGGACGAGCTGGACTGCCAGGGAGAGGAAGCAAGTGGGTCCTAGAGCAATTCAAGCCTGAAAAACTCTCTCGCGCTCTCTCTGGGGCAGCCGTGTGGAAACTGAGAAGGCAGGATTATTTGGAAAAGACCATAATGCTAGGGAAAGGTGGAAGGCAGCAGGAAAAGAGGAAGACCAAATACTGTACGGGATGGATGGACTCCTTAAAAGAAGCCACAGGCTTGAGTTCTTCAGGAGCTGAGGACAGGACATGTTGGAAATTGCACGTTCATGGGGTCGCCCTACGTCAAGAGGCAACTTGAAGGCATATAACAACACAAACGTTATGGAGGAAAACTCCAAGTGTGGTCCCTTCGGGGCAGAACTAGGCAAAGTAACTTTTGGGAGTAACAACGGAGGAAATTGTCATCCAGAAAAGTCACTGTGCCAAGTGTCATCCTTGGGCATGTGCAGAGTATATTTTCATAACGGTCCGTATCTAGGTGTTGGGGGTGAGAAACCATGGCAACAAGACCAAGCTGTGTTTTTTTTTAATTACACATCATTTAAAAAAACTTTTAGATCTTTCAGCAGCTTGCACTTTGAACAACAAAATTGCAATAAAGGTACAGCAGAGCATCATAATGCAGTAATACAGTAATACATTCCGTTGAAATCGCTGTTAAGCAAAATCCTCGTCAAGCGAAACAAAAAAGCCCATTGAAATGCATTGAAAACCGTTTCAATGCGTTCCAATGGGCTAAATACCTCAGCGTCCATGAAGATCCTCCATAGGGGCAGCATTTTTGGTGCCTGTAAAGCGAGGAATCCGTCCTAAATCACAGCGGGAAGCCATTTTGCACAGCGGGCGGCTATTTTAGAGCCGCCAGTCAGCTGTTTCAAAATGTCGTCTAGCGAAAAATCAGTTCCCAAAGCAGGGAACCGATCATCGTTAAGTGATTTTCCCTATTAGAACATCGTTTTGCAATCACAAAAGCGATCACAAAAACTTCATCATCAAGTGGTTTCATTGTTTAATGAGGTAATCGTTAAGCGAGGCACCACTGTACGTACGACACAATAACAGCCTTACAAGTCTCACTGAAGTTGCCATTCTGTAGCTTATTCCTCGTATGAGAAAAGAGCAAAAGAAAACCCTTTCTATTTCCTGATGTAGAAAATGGGGGAATTTAAAACTATAGCTGCTTGGGGGGGGGGAGCTACCTGCAGTTTGAGAAGCAACGAACAGTTTATAAACAATTTGGCTTCAGCTCTGTTGACCGCACATTTCATGACCCATCTTGGATTTGTACTTTGTAATGTGCGAGAAGTCTGATGTCAGGAAAAGGCATGCCTAAATCATGCATGATTAGAAGTGAGCAGGTGAGCTTGGGTGCCCCCAAAGGGTCTACTTCCACTGGCGTTGCTAAACCTAGGTGGAGGGCATGCGGTGGAAGAAGGAAAAAGTGGGAAAAAGCCCCCCCCCCAAGGAAGTCTCCAAGAGATGGTACGCCTATGGAAGAAGACCTGGGAGCAGTTGGTGAGGAAGAAGACGGGAAGGAATGAAGTAGAAGAGTGGTGGGATGGCTCTGTTTGGAGTGGAGAAGAGCCAGAGTTTGCAGCAGCCAACTATATTCCCACATCACGGAAAGGGATCGCCTTGGAGGATCTGAAGGAGCCCAGGAAAGCTGAGGCTGGGCAGTGAGCTGATGGAGACACTAGGAAGAAGGGCCCAGCCAGCTGGGAAGACTCACCCCCCCACACACACACACACCAACTCAGCAACATGGTTTACGCCTTGAATGGCTGTTCAGATTTTTGTCTCAGTTGAACAAGGACATCTAGGAAGGGAGGCTAAAGATTTATAGACTTTAAGAGGGATTTGGACTGTAAAGGTGAGAGGATGATGGAGGACCCCAGTGAAGACGATCCTGTGCAGGGAACTGAATGGGGGAGAGACAGGGTAAATGATTAGTAATAACATGTGCTGCATATATACTGCCCCATAGTGCTTAAAATACTCTCTGGGCATACAGTTTAATTATGCAGGCTACACATTGCACCCGTCCTGTGAGCTGATTACGACCTTGGAAAGACTGAAGGTTGAGTCAACTTTAGGATTGAACTCCCGTCTTGAGCAGAGTCTTGATTGCAGTATTGCAGCTTAACCACTGTGCCACCACATTCTAATAAATGTTCGCTTGTTTGAATACTGACTCTGGGCCTTCTTTGTATTGACGGGCAACACAGGGGTACCATTTGTGGTTCCCATCTCTCCAGAGGAGACACGCTAGAAATTACTGTTTATTAATGCTTATCTACCACCTACATCTTAGAAACTTTGGGAAGTGTACGAAGTCACCCAAACAAACACTGGTTTTCTTCAGAGCAACCCTGGGGGTTAGGTTAGGATGAGAGAGTGCAACTGGCCAGGTTTGGCCTGTGGGCTTTGTATAAAACTCAGGTTTTCAACCCAGAACTCCGTTTCAAGTATAAAGAGCAACCAAAGAAGAAGAAGAAACCGTTACAGATCCAGTCAAGAAATGCAGAAAGATCAATGGTGAGTGGGAGCATGTATCCAATTTCCTAACATCTCTGCACGTCATCTTCCTGTGGGTTTACTCGAAAGCAAGGCCCACTGTGTTCAAAGGGCTTTTCTTCCATCCAGCGACAGGCTCAAGAATTCATCCATTCTGTCTTTCCAACAATCTGTGGATTTCATATGTCCGCCAGGTGGTGCATTTAATCTATACGCGGGGCTGTCCTGGAAAGAAAGCCCTCAGAGAAGGCCTGATTTCAAATTGTCCTGGACTTTGCTCAAAACATGCAGTAATCATGTGTATCTATGCACTATAGTACTTCAGATAATGTTTACATCATGTTTACGTCATCAGTATTTTAAAAAGCATTTAAAAAAACTAAAAATATGTTTGAAAACTCTCTTACTTAAACTCTCCTCTGTGTGTGTAAGGAAAGCTACCATCTGAGATAAATGGTTAAGTTTTAAAAAAGAGAGACCATTTCTTTGATCAATTATTGTTCTGTATGCCTTATTTCAATTTTTCCCCATATGAAAATGTACCCATTTTAAATCTAAATACTTATGTTTTCTAGGGGTCTAGCTCAGGGAATCTGAAGACAGTATTATGTTTCTTAAATTAACTCTGAGAATGGACCCCAAGACTGCATATAAAGCAGATGCAGAATAATGGAGAATTATTCTGCAGTGGCACCCACGTGGTCCTATTTCCAGGATGAATACCTTACTTACTGCCTTACTTCTTAAAACACTGATAAACCTCGGCAACTAGTGTTCGATGGAACACGGCTGCATGGCTCAGCTGTGGTCCAGATGTTTCCAAATATCTTCACATCTGTTTCTTTCGAATTGGCTGCCCTTTTACTGAGAATAATTATCATTCTGCTTAACGTCTCTCTTTCGCTACCACACATGGAGTGATTTTTTAAAAAAGAAGAAAGAATAGTAGGAACAGTAGAAGAAAAGCAAATTGAAATGCTCAGTGGATGGAAGCAATTGTCTTATGAGTAAAGATGGGAATTGGGGGGGGGCTCTGTGGCTTCGGAAATTGCAAATCAAGGAGGATATGACACATCTTATGGCCGGAACACTTTGGGGAGAGGGGGAAGTGTGTGCAATGATGATTGTGCAAGTGCTTTGTGCCCTCTGGTGAGGCATCTGTTCTGCCAAAAGTCCACTATGAATTACATGATGGAACAGTCTTGCTAGCACTGTTTCCAAACCAGTGGCTCCCAACCTTGGGTTCCCAGATGTTCTTAGTCTAAAACCCCTAGAAATCTTGGCCAGCACGGTGAGTGGCGAAGGCTTCTGGGAGTTTTAGTCCAAGAATATCTGGGAACATTGGTCCAATTAAGCTGTGGAACTCACTGCCACAAGATAACAGCAGTGGTTGGCAATCTAGATCTTAAGAAAGGGATTAAGACAAATTTGTGGAAATTGGGACCATCAACAGATACTGGTCTGTAGCTCTGGACCCTTAGTCTAAGGGGCAACTTTGTCCATTAGTTCCTGGGGAACATGAATTAAAGAGTGATTTTCCCCCATATTGTGCTTGTGGGCTTCTCTCGACCAATTGGTTGGCCACTGTGAGAACAGAAAGGTGCCCTGCAAATACCTGCTTAAGAAAGGGATCAAGACAAATTTGGGGAAATTGGGACCATCAAC